CCTGATGACCTGAACTTTTCACCAATCACTGCCGGTGATAAAAATTCTAGAAGGCTCTGGGAGGAGTTGTATAAAGCTAGACTGCTACCTCCACCCCCTAGTAACTCACAAGTGTGACTCACAGAAGCTCCACCCTCTCAGCAACAACAACACACTCTCCCCAAGAGTTTTAAAAAGTTCAAAACTCACCCTCTTAGAATGGCTGCCCAGGAACTGCTCACCTGCTCTTCCTCCTCTCTAGCAGGAACTTGCCTAGAAGAGCCTCTTGTTGTGGTCTGCACACTGTAAAAGGAGGCTTGCAAATCCAGTACATATGAATTTGTTTTGTTTGTAAATTTAACAATCCCTTTTCTTTGTGCTAAAACTTATTGACCATTAGCAAGATAGATAGGAAAAGTTACATTTGCATCAAAATCAACAAACCATTCTTTTCTGTTGAAGTAATGCGCACTTGCTCCAATATCCATAAAAACATGGTTTTTATATTTATCTCCAGCAATTTGAAATAACTGTTGTTGAATCAAACTGATATCAATATGACTGAAAGATATCTGTTTAGAATTAAAATCTTCTTTCATGAAGTTGCTTTTGCTTTTTGTATTCAGTCCCTAACTTTGCAGCTTTTGCAGCTCAGCTTTTGGTCTTGACTCATTAACACTGGGCCTGAACAGACAGATCAAATGAAGCAGCTTCAGGCCACTTTGGAGGCTTGCTGTTTAAATGATGCCTGCGTCCTAAGAGACTGGAAGCCCCACCGAAGCTGCACTCTGGTTCTTAGCACCAGAGCACAGCTTTGGTGCAGCTTCCAGCCTCTTAGGACACATGCATCATTTGAAAACCACACCTGAAAAGTGGCTCAAAGCTGCTTCATTTGGTCTGTCTGTTTGGGCCCATTGTTTCTGTTTGATCTGGGAGAAAAATAAGCCATTTTCAAATCTTCTGCAGCAAATTGAACTAATTCTCTCTCTCTCTCTTTTTTTTTTTTTTGGTATTATAGTTGTCTTCCATCAAGTTTTGCCTATTTTAAAATTCAACAATTTGAGCAATAGAATCTTGTAAATAAACATCTCCTTTAACTTGCAAAGCGTTCATTATTAGAAAGTAGTATTTTGGAAGACTTGCCAAAAACAGTCCAAGTTTTGCATATTCTGGAAAGGATTCTCCAGCTGCTGTAATTCCAGAAAAAGTTGTCATAAAGCCATTAATATGCTGATTTAAATATTGAAGGTGATGCAATTTGGTGTTAACAAGTTTGATCATGAGAGCTGTTTAATTAGAAGTACTTGGAGAATTACTTTCTGTATTTGTCTCAAATTTGTTTTGCATCAGTTAAACCTTGAATATGGTAATCAATGTTGGGATTTATAGAAAACAAATATAAGCTGCTGCTTTCTCTGCATTTTCATCAAACTGTTGTTGTTTTTCTACTTTTGTGGGTCTCTGCCCATGTATTGTTTTAAATAGACCCATTGTAGTCAGGTACATTTGCATTTTCCATGACCACATTTTATAATTGTTCCAGATAAAATTTCAGTAATCATTGTTGAATTAGGATTAGTTGAGGCCATTCTCTATTATTGGAGTAGGGAAAATAACTTTTTTGAAGTCAGTATCTTCAAGTCAGTATCTTTTGAAGCAGTTTATCTGGAATCTCTTCTGGGTCTATACTGGGACCCTTTCTGGGCCCAAAACCAAAAATGTGGGGTGCAATTTGCATCTGCCTTCCTAAAGAATAAAGACTTACTCTAAAAATTACAAACATGCAGTTTGTAGCTTAAAAACCACATAATAATGACTTTAATAAATAAAGACATAACAAACTAAATCCTATCCTAACTGGTGATGGTTTGGGTATAGCAGAAAAAACTCTCACCATCTTTTACCAGGAAGAGATTGTTACTCCTCACTAACAAGAGATTGTTACTGTACTGAGAGGAGACTGTTTAGAATCCTGAGTGAAAGTCTGTTAAACAGCCTCCAAGTTTGAGTGACAGGAGTCACATGTTTAGATAGAGAGAAGTCCCTGTCTATCTAAGGAGGGACATGAGAATGTAATATTTTCAATAAAAGGAATGTGGTTTTTAATCTGCTAGGAATTAGCCATCAAGTTGCCCCCTTCCTGTAACTGTATATCAGCTTAATCATTTTAAAGGCTTTCATTTGCAATCAAAAAGTCATGTCATAAAATATAACTATATTCTAGATTTATTGAAGGACCAATAGTCATCAATAATGAAATGCCACAAGTTATTGCAGGTGTGCCTACACTGCAGAAATAAAGCAATTTGACACCACTTTAACTGCTATGACCCAATGCTATGCAATTCTGGAATCTGTAATTCTGTGAACTATTAAACCATTTCTGTTAGAGAGCTTTGGTGCCCCACCAAACTATACACCCCATTGAGCCATGGAAATTAAATTAGTGTCAAACTGCTCTGTTTCTGCAGGGTGGTAGCAACAGTGTTACAGGACTGTTTCATCTGCATTTTCCATGGAGAATGTACCCACAAAGAAACTAGTCATGGGGAGTGGGGCAATGATATTATTGCAAAAAGTGCTGGGAGGGCCAGAACCTAATTCCTTGACATCATCTGGCTTGATGGATAGGTCCTGGAAACAACCCCATCTCTATGCCCTCTTTGCTCCTAATATAAAGTCATTCCTGCTATTGCCTGAAAAAAGCATAGGGTCTGAAAGAATACTGGGGCTGTCTCTTTGCCTCTAAGAACAGCAGCCAAATTATACATTAATTTATGCATATAGTGTGGAAGAGGATGTCTGTGTGCTCCTTTAGTGTGCAATTGCAGTCTCTTACTGGGCAGGTATATATTAAGTAGCAATAAATTATAGCTTCATCACTGTTTTTGGTGGTGGTGGGTGGCTTCCCTGTCAGCAGTGTGATGAATCCATTTAATGTGTTAATTTGGACTTTTAAAGAGCTATCTAAAGTGCTGACCCTTTTGGGGGGTGGGGGGAATAGAATCCAGCACTCTGGATAGCTTCTTTAAAGTTTAAACTAAAGCATGGTGCAGATTCATCACCCCACTGACAAGGAAGCCACCAGCTGCCTCTAGTTATTTTGTATTCCAATTCTTCTAATATTGCTTCCAGGTTTGTTGTTGTTGTTATTGTTGTTGTGGACCTTCAAGTCATTTCTGATGTATGGCAACCCTAAGGCCCAATCATGGGGCTTTCTTGGCAAGATTGGTTCAGAGAAGGTTTGCCATTGCCCTCCCTTGAGGCTGAGACCATGTGACTTGCCTAAGGTCACCCAGTGGATTTTATGACTCAGCAGGGAATTGAACCCTGGTCTCTAGTGTCATAGTCCAACACTCAAACCACTATGTCATGCTGGCTCTCTTGCTACCTCATACCTTTTGGTAAAAGAAGATAGCATTGTAAAGCTAATAAGCAAACAACAACAAACTGTTCAGATGTACTTAAATGTTTTCAAGGTCTTTATTTCCAAACTGCACTGCCCAAACTGTGGCATGTTTTTTTTTTTTTAAATTATCATCAATTTTCTGGTGAATTCACAGCAGTTGTGCAGACATGAAAAGTTCTCTTTAGAAAGAATTCCACTAAACTACATTGAAAAAAATTGATCAGATTCAGACTGGAAGATATAGTTACATACTCATCAAATTACAGGTATTGATTGCCAGTTACTACACCTTAGCATTTGATACTATCCAGATAGCTAAACAGGCACTATCTCATTTCTTTTGCAGTTGGCACTATGCAGTAAATCTATTTTCTTACACATTGCAAACCGCTCAGTGAGATTAATTCTTTTTACATCATTTATTAAAGTACTAAGAGGCATGCTTTTCCTTAAATAATGTTCTCCAAATTGTGTTTGAAAACCTGTTTGCTATGAATATTTTAAAAAAATATGAATGTGTGAAATTTCAGTTTTTACATTAACTAGTTCTCCAGAGCTTGGAATGTTACTTTTTGGATGATAATTTTGGACTACACAGCTTCGGTCCAGACTATCCTTATACAAGTCAGTATGAGCTTTAAGAGCTGCAAGAGAAGACTTTCTCTCAGTCCCATCACTGTCACAGGCATGTTTGGTGAGGATTCAGGAAAGAGAGCCTTCTCTGTGGTAACTTCCCAGGTGGTGGAACTCTCTTCCTGGAGAAATCCAATTGTTCCCCTCCTGTTCTCTTTCTACTAGCAGGTGAAGAACTTTTCATTTAGGCAAGTCTTTGAATTTGAAATCATAACACAGTAGTTTGTATGAAGTGGTGTGCTTTATTTTATATATTTAAAAAATCTGTTACTAGTAGTTATGTTTTAAATGTGCTTTTAACTGTTTTAACAATTTTTTAAAAAAATATCTTTTTCTTTAATTCTTTTTTTAATTTTGTAAAATAAAAATTTAATTTAATCTTGCTTTAAACTTCTAGAAGCTGCCTTAGACTGCATCCTGGGAGAAAAGTGGGGTATAAATTTAATAAATAAATAAATATACAATATACAATTTCTAGTATCTGGATCCTGCAGGGTCACTAGCCATGGGAGTTGTAGTTCAGAAAAGTAACTTTCCCAATTTCTGTTTTTTTTAAATATCTTTCCCTACCTGTTGGGGGGGGGGGAACCTACCCAAGCTTTCGCTTGGGATTACTTCCTCAAACAATAACCTCTGGCCAAATAGTAATCTGGCTACAGCTAATAGCCTACTGAGAATAGCAAAATTTTCTCCTCTCCTCTTCTCTCCTCCTGCTGCTGCTGCTTTTACATTTTGAACTCAGGCCTCGTACAGACTGGCCAAAAGGGCTGGCCTGGGGATGGTATCGGGGCATAGCAACTGCACACCAGCTGCCCCAGCTCCACCCCGATGCCTGTCATGCTGCATGCCCCACTGCATGGTGGGTGACATCAGGGCACTCCCTTGGTGCAGCAGTCAGACACACTGTGCCAAAGGAGTGTGGAAAAGCCACCCCGATGCTGTGGCATGGGCGGCTTTTTGCCATTCCAAAAAGGAGCAGCATTTGCCAGCTCTTTTTAGAGTGGCAAAGTGCCGTATCAGGGCCATGGTGTGCAGTTGCCATGGCCCCGATCTGACAAGGAAAGGGGTGGCAGGACGCTACCCCTTAGGGGCCATCCATTTAGCCCCTCAGTCTGCAGCAACTGGAGGCGAGGACAAAGGAGAAGAAGGAGAGAGAAACTGTGACATTTTAGAAGCAGCTGCAAAAGTGGGGTGACAAAGGATCAGCTAGGACTTCCTTACTAAATTGAGAGAGTTGGAGAGTATATGAATCCATCTTATAGAATCCTAGGGTTTGAAATCTGGTAAATGTGGTATTGAGAGCCATTAAGGTGAAGTGGTTTGAGCACTGAACTACAACTCTGGAGACCAAGGTTCAAATCCTGGCTTGGCCATGAAAACCATGGAGTGACTTTGGGCATGTCACACTCTCTCAGCCTAAGAGGATGGCAATGGCAAACCCTCTCTGAAGAAACCTGCCAAGAAACCCCATGATAGTGTTGCCTTAGGGTCACCAGGAGTCAGTGACGACTTGAAGGCACAGAACAGCAGCAGCAACAAGTGAGGTACTTAGAATTCTCTATCACAAAGCTTAGGTGTTGTAGTACACAGGAGTAGAATTCTATCTAGCAAAGAATTGCAAGTGCCTCACTGAGCAGCAAGTCACATGTTATTAAATTGTTATTGAATTGCTATACTTGTATAGCGTGGACTTGAGGGCTAAGACATTCCTGGAACCATGTTAATAAAACTGATGTGTTGATTGCCTATTAACAGGGCATCTGCCATGTATCATCGCATCTCTCTCTCTCTTAATGAAAAATACCAGTCATTTAATCTGAGTCTTGTTGAGCAAAAGCAAACTGCAGCACCCTCTCCTAGCTTATGTGTTCTTCCTCATAATAGTTTTTGCTACCAAGACCACACTCTGATGTTGCTTGGCCAGAAGTGTCCCCCATTCATCTGTGAAATGTTGGCAATTAAAGTGGTATCCAAAGGCTCCACTGTTTCCCCCCCCCCAATTCTCTGGAGGAGAGCAGTGGGGAGGGAGAAAAGTAACTATAAAGACTAGGGACAAAGCAGAAATCAAAAAGGACTGGTAACACCCACTAGAAGGGATGTAGAGAAGAGATAAAGGACATTATCACATGAACCTCATTCTCACTGCAATTGTGCTTGTTAATGAAAATGGAAACATACTGGTTTGTCAGCAGCTATTATTACACACTTTGTCAATTGTGTGACTGGGACTGCTTCTGCCATCACTCTCTTTTTTTGACTCCCCTTTAACCCCATCTCCCTACTCTCTGCCCTAGAAAATTACTACAAAGACCAATGTAGAGAAATAGGAGACAACAACAAAAAGGGAAGAACAAGAGATCTATTTCACAATCCAGGAAATCAAAGGAAAATCCAAACCAAGGACAAGGATCATTTATGACAATAAAAGTAGCATAATTCAAGACCAGGAAGGAATAAAAATATGTTGGATGCAATACACAGAAGAATTATACAAAAGAGATGATAACATGAAGAACACATGGAAGGAAGAGCCATATGAAGATGAACCCCAAATTCTAAAAACTGAGGTGGAAACTGCAATAAGAGAAGTGGTGAAAAACAAATCACCAAGAACAGATGATATTCCAATTGAACTGCTGCAATCCACATTAACAGAGTCAACTCTAGTGCTAACTAAAGTATGTCAACAGATATGGAAAACAAAACAATGGCCAATAGATTGGAAATAATCAATATACATCCACAAAAATCCCCACCCACAAAAAGGGAGACACAAGAGACTGCACTGATCTCCCACACAAGCAAAATCATGCTCAAAATTATGCAACATAGACTCCAACCATACACAGAGAGAGAAATCACAGAGGTTTAAGCGGGGTTCAGGAAAGGAAGAGGTACTAGGGACCACATTGCAAACATATGATGGCTAATGGAGAGAATTCCAAAAGAAAATCAGCACGTGCTTTATAGGCTATAGCAAAGCCTTTGACTGCATAGATCATGAAAGGCTATGGAATTCCCTAAAAGACATGGGAGTGCCAATACATCTGATAGTCTTGATGAAGAACCTGTACTTAGGACAAGAGGCTACTGTCAGA